GCCAGAGGAGCCGCCGCCCCTCACCCCCCCGCCCGCCCTCCCGCCGCTACACTGTTGCCCTTGCGGCAGGCGCCGCCTCTGAAGGGAAGCGCCCGGCGCCGCTCGCCTCGCCCGGCCGGCTGCGCACGTAGCGGGCTCCGACCGGCCTCGCCGCCTCAGGGCTGCCGAGTGGACCCGGGGGCACAAAGCGCGGCTCAGCGAGCGTGGCCAATCGGGCAAAGGTTCGGCCCCGGCGCGCTGCCGATTGGGCGCGATGGGGAAGGTTCCGCCTCCTTTGCCTCCCGGTTGGCCGTAGGACCCGCCTCGGCGGGCCCGAAGGCGGGGAGTGACGGCGGGCCCGCCCCCAGCTGGCGCCTCGCTCTGCGCGTGCGCGGCATCCCTTCCGCGGTCGGTGCTGCGAGCGTTCCGGGCGGCAGCGGCGGAGGCGGAGGCGAGGGGGGGCAGCTCCGGGGCACAGCGGCTGCGGCGCGCGTGCGCAGAAGCGCCTGTGAGTTGGGGTGGCCCTTCAGGGATGACCGTCGCCCCTCCGAGGAGGGGAGGGCGCCCCCAGTCGGAAGGAGCCTCCCAGGTCTCGCTGCTCTTCCGGGGGGGGTCCGGCCCCCTCCCTCGGCCCGGCCCGGCCCGCCCAGCGCTGCCCCCGCCTGCAGGGAGAGCCCCGGGGGCCGCCGGCGACTGGGAGGGAGGCGGGGGGTCCGCGGGTCATCTAGTCCAGCCCCGCCGTCCGGCCCCTCTCCCGGGAAGCCCAGAGAGCCTCCGCCCCTTGGAAGGGCGGCCCCGGCCCGGCCGGTGGGGGAGGGGAAGGGGCCCACCCGGGGAGCCTCCTCCGGGCCCCGGCGGAGGGGGGGCTTCAGCTGCCGGCTGAGGGCCTCTGGACGCCCCCGAGACGGGAGCCCCAGCGCAGGGGCCCCGGCCGTTGCAGGTGGGACCCCCAGGACGGGCCCCGGAGGGCCAAGGGGGCCGGTCAGGGATGGGGCCCTGACGGTGCCATCCTGCCTTTCAGCCGGGAGAATGAATCCGGGCACGGAGACCCGGAAGCCGCTGCGGGCCAGGAAGACGATGGCTGTCAGCAGCCGGAAGCAGGTGGAGCTTCTGGGCAAAATGAAGGCTGTCTCGGCTGGCAAAGGAGCTGCGGGCGAGAAGAGGCCGGCGGAAGCCATTGGGCCGTGCCCCGGGGCCCCGGACGAGCGAGAGCGGGCCATGACCGGAGCCGGACAAGAGCCTCCCCCGGCCAAGGACCCCCTGGCCAGCTTGGTGGTCAATTCCGAAATCAGCATTTATAAGGACCCCCAGGAGATGCTCAAGGAGCTCCCAAACCCGGATGTCAAGCAGTTCTTGAACGCCGGCGCGTTGCAGGACATTCTTTGGCACTGGTACGAAAAGGAGTCCGGCTCGCCCTTGCTGAAGCCGGTCAAAGTGTCCCTGGAATCGGGACCGGCTGGGCAGCTTCCGGGTCAGCTTCCGGTAGCCTCTTCCACACACGAAATCGCTGCCACAGATGCTGTAGCCGAAACGCCGGTCTGCCAAACTCTTCCAGTATTGCAGCCGGAGCAACGCCACTTCCAGGTGCCTGAAACGGACGGGGGCCCTGCAGAGCCACTGGGAAAGAGCAGGACCCCTTTGAAAGTCAGTAAAGGTACTTTGAAAAGATTGCCAGGTTACTCTTTTCTCTTGCAGCTGGTCCTGAACCCCCTAGTAGCCCCCGTTTTCGGTGGAGGGGAGATTGGAAGCGTTTCAAGCAATTGAAGAAATACAGGCAGTCCTTGACTTAGTTTGTTTAGTGACCGTTCAAATTGACGACGGCACTGAAAAAAGTGACTTAGGATCGTTTTCCACACTTACGACCTTTACAGCATCAAAATCCGGCTGCTTGGCAACTGGCTCCTATTTATGACGGTCACATTGTCCCAAAGTTACACGATCCCTTTTTGTGACCTAAAAAGCCAAGTCACCAGGGAAGCCGGATTACTAACATCAACTGCAGTGATTCGATTAACAACTGTGGCAAGAAAAGTCATAAAATGGGGCAAAACTCACTTAACAAACGTCTCACTTAACAACAAAAATTGGGGGCTCAATTGTCGTAAGTCGAGGACTACCTGATTTGGATAACGGCGCCCAATTCTAGCTTGCCCCCCCCCCTTGCTTCAGGAGAGGGTGGCTGACAGCAGCCTTCCATAAATCGTGGATATGTTTGCGCAATCATTGTATTTTTTTTCTTCTTCTTAAACCCTTTTTGCAAAGGTGGTAGGGGGCTTCTTCAAGAGAGGGTCCTGGAGCTTAGCCCGAGCAGGGTCTGGCAGGGCTCAGATTTGCCTTCCCAATCCCTCCATGAAGGTCTCCCACCTCTCCGGGCAGGAGACGGGCAGCGGAAGAGGGCAGCATCCAACAGCGAGGAAGATGTCCTTTCCAAGCGCACCAAAGCATCCAGGGACCCCGTGGAGGGGACCACTCCAGCCGTGGAGAAAGCGGAGTCCCGGCTGGGAAAGGTAAAGGACGTTCGCCCCTCCGAACGTGGCCCCTGTGGCGCAGGGGTCTGTTGCGAGCGCCGCTTCCTGTGGGGGCCACGCCGAATCCCTCCCGAGCGGGGCCCAATGGTAGCAGTGCTGTGGCTTGTCGCTAGTAGATACGTCGGCAGTGGTTTGAGCTCTTCCTGTTGGCCGTACATAACCGCTCTTTTTGTCTTGATAGCTTGCTTCAGGCCCTCCTCGGGCTGGAAAGTCCACAGGTAATGCTGCATGGGGCAGTTGCATTATTGGGGTGGGGGGGTCTCGCTCCAGCTGCATCCCTGGAATGTTCAACTGAGAGCAGCCTGTTCTTCCTTGCATCCCGGGCTTGCTTCCTCCATGCACACGATTCTGCCCCCGGGAAGCAACGGTTTCGTTACAAGATTCGGAGAAGTATGCGTTTAGATATATCGGGGTGTTTTCTGTCTCCAGAGTACAACTTTTGCATAAACTTGATTTCCAACCTCCTCGTTACTTTTGCATTCTGCAAAACCGCCGGGGGGTGCCTTAAAAAGCAAGCGTGAAAGCCAGGCCCAGAGTCCTGGCTGGGTGGGGAGCAGCTCCTCTGCCCTTCAGACCCTCAGCGGCCTCTGCGTCTTGGCTTGGACTGAGAAGAAGGGATGGTAAGATTGGGGAGGGGGCTCGCCACAACGATGGAAGCCGCTAGAAATCCAATAATTAGAAATATTTCACAATAAACGCATGTCTCATACATCTGTGTATCAAAGGTGTGGGAAAGTTAGAGATTCGCATGGGAAAACAGGAAGTTGAAAACTGTCAGGCTCTTGAAAAAGTCCCATTTCTGATTGATTGTGTTGGGGGGGGGGTGCCGTGAAGCTGAAGATGTCCCTGTTTATCTATTTGTGCATTTTTCTTGCTTTAGGTCCAGTGCTTGATTCAAAATCAGCTGGAGGCCTCGATGAGAGAACTGGACCAGGGTCTCCGGCACTTAAACGAAAGAATTGATCGCACGCAGTGCCTGCGGAAACACGAAGGCATTGCCATTAAGATTGTAGTAAGGAGCCCCTTCCTTTAAAGCTCTGTATGTGTGTGCATGTGTGTGTCACGCACACAGGGCACAAGCTTGTATGTGTCTTTCTGGTTCTCACGCGCAGTTTGACGGGCCCCACAAGAAGCCTCTCTGCTCCCGTTAAGGAGCTGGGAAGGGTTGGGTGTGCTGGTGCAGGGCATGTGGATTCAAGGCTGATGTTCCACTGGTGCAGCTGGAGTCCTGCTTCCCTGCTTCTGCAAGAACCTCCTTCCGTTTTCTTGCAGAAGAAAATCTCCAGACTGGACAGACACATCAACGCTGTGATATCGTTTCAGAGGACGGCGTTATCCCAAAAGGTGAGACTTGTGCGGCAGCAGTGCTCTGGCTCGCTCAGCCCCCGAGGACCCGGGGTACACCGGGGTTGCAGCACGGCCTGATCCTTCCTCCGTTTCGGTGCCTCTCAACGGGATCTGGTGACGTTGGGGTTTCCTTTAAGTGGCGATGGGATCGTTGCCCCAAAATCCAGGAACCCAGATTGGTGCAAGCCTTCGATGCACAATAACGACATTGTTTCTGTTATCGTTGGATAAACTATGTTGCCTCTCCTCCTTTCCCAGCCGGGTTTCTTTCTTTCTTAACGCTCCAAAGAGCTTTGGCCAAGGACTTCAGAATACAGTCCTGTTGTCCGATTTCTCCCCTCCCTGTCCCTGAAAAGGCTACTTTTGCCTCGGAGAGAAAATGACATGCTTTCCTAATCTTCAGAGGCAGAGATGCAGGTCTGAAAGGCTGGAGTCCCCTTGGTTCAGATGTTCGTAATAAACCCTAAAAGGCTTACATAACAGGAGAAAGACAGCCAGAGGTCTCTCCGGCTCTGAACTCTTCGCTTTTGAGGCAGGGGTCTCAAGGGGGCTTAGGAAAACAAAAATATCTCAGAAGCAGAGTTTACCCGGAGGTCCTGACCAGGGGCCAGCCAGAATGGAATTTTACGCTGAGGCCAGGCTCCAGGGTCAGTGGTAAAATGTCTTTTCCCATAGTTGACAGTAAATGCTTTTTTCCACTTCCTTTTCCCAGGTCCACCAGCCCAGGGCACACGCTGAAGGTAAAATATTAAATGGTGCCACCCTGCCTCCGAACACGGCTGTCGGCAAGCCGGTGCCACCAAAAAAGCCAACGTCAACCGAAATCGTGTCTTCCACCGCGGAAAGGTCAGTGGCAAACGGCCGTTGTTGATTGCCTCTGAGACTGTCTGCTCAGGGGGCGCTGCTTCCATCCGCCCCGTGGAGGTGGCGTCCCTGGAATTTGTACGTTGCCTTCAGTGGAGAGAGGCCGGCTGCTTGGTGTAATCCCTTGGTAGACGCTGTGAATTATTGTGGGTGCTTCTTGATCAGGTCGCCTAGTGCTGATGTGGTCCCTTGCGTTGAGGTGCCGAAGCAAAGCTCGGGGGTGCCGGCCGCCGGGGCTCCAGGTACGGAGAGAGACTTTCACTTTGCAGCTTCCCAACAAACATGTTTGAAAAGAAGCAGTTGCGTAATGGGAGAGTATCTGAATGGACCCGAGTGAGCAAATTAAGTAACAAGTCTCTGGCAGGTCTTTCTGGTGGGGGCACCTGGAGGTGTGCTTTCCTCCCTTTGCCCCAAGGAGAAGAAAAATAACCAAGGATTACGCAACCTGTAATGAGAGCACACTCGAGCAGTTAGTGGGTCTCCTGCGAGTAGCTTGGCATGCAGCAGAATGGAAGTAGCAGGCCCAGATTTCGGGGGGGAGGGCAGTTTGCTTGGCCCACCATGGACTCCTGCAGAGCACGGAAGCGCCTGGCTCCAAAGGACCCCCAGATGCCTCCTAGAGGGCCTGGGTGAAGTGGGGCCGGGAAGAGGCCTCAGCTTGCTTGAGTCAGCTGCCTTTCATTGGGGCTGAGGTGTTGTTCTCCATTGGCTGATGATGGAGCAGTCCAGGGATAGGAAGGGACTGTGGCTCAGGCCAGTTGCAAACTGCAGACCCCCTCTCCCCGGCCGAGACTGCCTCGTAGGCCAGGGGTCTTCAAACTCGGCCGTTTTATGACTTGTGGACTTCAACTCCCAGAATTCCTCAACCAGCCACAAGTCATAAAAGGATGAAGTTTGAAGACCCCTGCCGTAGACTGAAGCTGAGGGGGCACCCCGACTGCTCTCGTACCCAGCGCAGGCGTGTTCTAGCTTCTGCCTTTCTGAGCCACCCAACAAAATCTGAGTTTTAAAACCACCCTTGCTTGTGTCCAATTTCTGCAGCTCATCCACCGAAAGCAGCTGCTGGATACGCAGACCCTCCAGGTGAACAGGTGAGCGAGTCCAAGATGAGCTTTGAAGCTGTGCTGCATTTTTCTCCTCTTTGACCTTTTCCAATCTTTTTCCTGCTCTGCAGTTATAAAAGAGCCAGAATTCTGAGCATCTTTGCTGTGTTTTGTATGTGTTTCTATTTCTAGTCCTCCCGTTATTTCTGAAAAACATTCGTTCTTATAAGCTGCAGGAGGCTGTTTGCAGACCAAAATCAGGATCCACTTGGTCCGTCTAATTCACCTTTCCTCCTAATTACAGGATGCCTTGGTGATTGACTTAACAGATGAAGAAAGCAATCCTGATAAAGGTGAATAGACTATTTTTCCATACCTTTATGGCAATGTAGAGGTAGTGTTTGTATTTATTTTAAGTACATGGCTTTCCAGTCTCTACCCCGCTTTTCCTCAAAGCAGGGGAGTAAACAGGATAGAAACATGCAAATGAAATCCAGGGCAGTTCCTTCAAAATGTTCCAGTTATCTCTGGAGGAATAAAAAGTTTCTTCTGGTGGAATCTTTGTACTGGACCGGCTGCCTCCAGGAGGGTGGGGGCCCCAGAGCGTTTCTTCCACAGCCAGCCCAGAGCATTTGGGGGCCAGTGAGCGGACAGGAGAGGCTGCCTTCTCCTGGGGTGGGAGGGGGGGTTGGGGGCTATTCCTTCATTTGCCTTGCCTTCGTTGCCCTTCTTTGGTAGCTGTTGCAATTGTGAGAAGCCATCTGAGGTGGAGCTGCCACCACATGGCACTTAGCCCAGGGTTTAAAATGCCATACTAACCCTTTCTTTTCTGTGGGCAAAGAAGAGAAGAAAAAAGTTGCAGGAAGCAGCCAGCTGGGCCAGGAAAGCCAGCCAGAGAGTCTTCCTCAGCCTGCAGGACAATCCCCAAGTCAGGTATTTAAACAAACTCTCCCAATTGTGAGCTCTCCTGTGTCCCCGGCAGGCACGATGGGGGGCGCAAGTAAACCCTGCAATAGAGAAAGGAATATTTAAAAGTGGAACAGATTTGGGTTTTTTTCCGAATTTGCCTTCCCTTGAGTGAAGTCCTGAGTTGGAAGGGATGAGTTTTATTCGCTTTGCCACAAGGGGGCAGCCTTGCAGCAGGAAAGGCCCAGGGTGGATCCTGGAGCAGCGGCTGAGCTTGGGAAACCTCTGGGGTTTGGAGGGGGGGGGGGAATCACTGGCCCCAAACACTCTGAGCTTCCTGCTGCAACTGTCCATTGCTCAGCCCGGCCCTCAAATGGTGTGCAAGGCTTGGAGTCCTCCGGGAGTCTCCCTCAAGCCACGCCAGCAGCAAATGAGCCCAGGTCCCAGTTTCAGCTGCCCTGGGAGGGGAAAGGCCCACTCGGGCTAGCCGGGCCTCTCTTTCAGTTAGGCCTCTGGGCAAAGCAGGGCAGCCTTTGGGAAGGTGGAAAGCAGAAGGCAGGAGATGCCGGCTGGGGCTCCACTCCTTGCGTCTGCAGGGCACGACACGCACGGAACACGGGCTGCGTGCATGAAGCACGTCTGTTGGGTTTCAGGCGTTCGGCCAGACCTTTCCTGCTGAACGGGAACGCCTGCAGAGGGGTTATGGGGGAGCAGGGAGGTCCTTGCCCCTCTGCCCTCCCTTAATCCTTTCTCTCCCCTCTTCTTCTCCGCTGCCATCAAAGCTTGCCTTTCCCCACGGACTCCAGTCCTGGCCCTTTGGTCTGACAGGGACCCCCAAACTTCCTGTTCTGTGTGTGGGACGTTTTGCACGGCTCGGGGCCCCTGCTTCGTGGGCACGGGTGGGACGGCCCCTTCGCTTGCCTGCTTATGAACCGCATCTCCTGCCTCCTCCAGGTGCCCCCGAGGTTTCCCCACCTCCCTCCCTTGCCCAGCGTTGAGCCCGACCCAGCGCACTCCAAGGACCTCAGAGACACTCTGCCCCCCCAGAAGCTGGAGCTGGTGGTGGCTCAGGTGAACCAGCCCAAAGGCATTGCCCTCCAGTGGAACATCAGCCGAGTGGACCCCCGGTGCGCCCCCATCGAGAGCTTCTCCTTGTTCATCTGCCTGGAGGACCTCGGCAGCGGGACCACCTCTGAGTGGAGGAGGACCAGCGTCCTCAAGGCCCTCCCTCTGCCCATGGCCTGCTCGCTCTCCCAGTTCCCCCGCCCGGCCAGGTGCTACTTCACCATGCAGTCCAAGGACATTCACGGGCGCTACGGACCTTTTTGCGAGGTCCAGTCCATCTCGGCTCTCTAAGGGAGCCAGCCTGCTTGGGGAGCGGCAGGACCCCCTCCCTAACCGGGCACAGCTTTTCCCAGATTTTTTTTTTAGGGGCATTATTTTCCCAGCTCGTTGTGTTGAAAACACCCCCGGACAGTTGACCATTTTTTCCTCCCGCACCAAGCTGGCATCACCTGTGGGAGAACGTGAGAGAAAAGGCTCAGGAGGACGGCCTCCCACTCTGGAGGACTCCAAAGAGGAGAAGCTGGAGGTTTTCCCATTCTCCCCCCCCCCCCCCCAGAATCAGGCTCAAGGCCTCCAAGAGGGGAAACTTTGCTTTTGTATTGTTTTCATCCCTTCACCAGCAAGATGAGAGAGACGGATGTTCTCTTGTCCAAAATCCAAGTGGGTCAAAAAAAGTTTTGGTTTTTTTTTTAAAAAAAAATAAAGTGCCTTTTCTGTTGGATTTTCCTGCAGGCTGACTGTATTTTCCTGATTTTGCAAAAGGCCACTGGCCTTGTTCTGATCCAAATGTCCGCTCTTCTTTCCAAAAGCATTTTTTTCCACCTCTTTCAACATTACTGAAGAAATAGCTAACGTGTGGAATCTCACTGGCTATCCCCTGGTGCAGTTTATCCACTTTGGCTGTGGACTTCAACTCCCAGAATTCCCGCGGCTGGCTGGCTGGCTGGCTGGCTGGCTGGGGAAGTCTGGGAGTTGAACTCCACACATCTTAAAAGTTGCTTTTAGTATTCAGGAAGGCTTCCTGGGAATGATGTGGCCTCCGTGGCCTCTGTTGCCTGGAGGGCAGTTAGCAGTAACTAGCCTGTGCAGACTTACTCCAAGCATCCTTCCTTGCTTGTAAAAAAAAAACTGATTACGGTGCAGAAATACTGTTCGCCAAGGAACAACTTTGTGCTCGTGTAAATGCCAGCCACACCGCACTCTTCAGTTTAGGATCCCAATAGGTCACTTTCCAACCCCTCTTCCCAGCTGTGACAGGGACTAGAAACTTTAAAAGCTTTCTAGGGAAGCAAATGCTGTCTCCTGTTTGTACGTAAACCATCCGGTACACAACAGGGTCTGCATCTCAGCCACAACAGAATGAAATGCCAGCCTAATACCGGTTGTAATGTTTTATTTCCACATACAGTTTGATAGGTATATAAAATACAAAACGAGGGAGGCACTGTCGGTGGAATTGAGCTACAAATTTGTCCTCTGAGAAACCCCAAATGCTGGGTTGCTCAAAATCTTGAAGAACTCTGGTACCCCAAAGAGGCTTGTTCCGCTTCTGGTAGAGCTGCAGCTGCACTTGGTGGGAAAGGGCTGCTCTGCGTTCCTAAGGCAGGATTGCCTGGTTTTATAGGAAGGCTTCCTGCTTGTTTCTTGCCAAGGAGTCAGAAATTTAAATGTAAATAGCGTTATATATCTTTGTGTACATGTGCTATCTTTTTTAAAACATAAATATAAATTCAAACTATAACATCACCAGAGGAGTTAGTTGTTCTGAATAAAGGTTCACCGGTGGCAAAAACTTATTTTTAAAGCCTGCATAGAGTTACAGCCTGAAGATAAAGACTCAGCTGGCGGTCAGGGAAGAGGGAAGGAGTGGGGGTGGGGGTGGACCAGGGGTTATCCCAAAGGGAGGAAGTGGTGGAAATTAAAGGCAGAATTAAAGCACTAAAGGCCAAAGAGGATGAGGATATGTCCAACACGTCCCTTCCCACACATCTGAGGATGCTATGTCAGTCCAGATAAAGCCATTCTCTCACTCCAAATATCCACTTAATAAGACACTAACTTAAGATGCTGTCTGCAGGTTTGGCGCAGGGGCTGCTTAGAAAGCAGACAAGATCTGTCATTCTTGCAGGTCGAGCCTGTTCTTCGTGTTCATAAAAGCAGCCGCTAGTTCTGTAGCGCTCATTTCCTAGCCAGAAAATTCAGGAATGAACCTGTCGCAATCTCGGGGAGAGAACTGGGGGCGGCTGGAAGAAACGCCAGCAGAGAGGAGGGATGCGGTGAGTCTGCCTCTGGTCCAAGACGGTCAGTAAGAACAACTCGAGGGTCTCCCTGGCCTCTGGCGGTTCCGGGCACCCCTCTCCTTCCCAGCGTGGCCCCCGCGTCTTGCTTCGGAGTCCCCCCCCCCCGGTCGCTCTGGATCGGCCTGCCTTGAAGTCTGCCCACGTCTGCCGGCGGCTCTGGGGCCTGGGAGGCTTGCAAACACGGTCAAGCTTTGGTGCCAATGCCAGTCCAAAATCCAGCCTCTCCTGCGCCAACGGGCAGCCGTTGCAGGGTCACCTCAGGTCGAGAGGAGCTCCCTCATCGGGGCTTTGCTTCCTCCCGTGATGCACGCAGAAGGAATGTTTGAAGTTCCTCAGAAAACGGGGAAAGGGACAAAACCGGAAGGAATTCCGCGCCAGGCTGGCCTGGAGGACCTGGCCACAGGAAGGGCCATCTGGAGCTGTGCCAAACACGGAAAAGGCTCCAGCTGTGGATCAAGACCGGGACTTACGTGGCACCCAGTGAGGTAGCTCAGGAGGCGCTCCGGGGAGCAGCTTCGTCTCGGGCGAAGGGCCCTCGTGCCCCCCGGGCAGGGCAAACGCAAGACCCTCAGCTGCCCCACTGAGAGTTGCTGTTGCACGAAGGGCAGATCAGAGGGCAGATCAGAGCGGGGCCTTTGGCACCCAGGAGGCACTGGAATTCACTACGGTTGCCCCAGCTTGCAAGATGCCAGCCCTCAGCGTTTTACAGAACTGGGGGAGGGGGAAGGACAATGTGGGCGGTGAGGAGCTCCGCTTCATAGGCGTAAAAGGGAACCTGCGTCCAGCCGGCTGGGCCTGAGCTAAGGAGGCTGGCATCTGCTGCACGCTGCCAGTCACAGCCAGACTCCCACCTGTGTGCCCCCGGCCCCACCTTGGGTTAAGGCTAGTAGCCCCGCAGTTGTTTGGGGAGCTGCAGAGCCAGAGAAGCCCCACAAGCAGGAGGGGGGCCGGCATGCCTGGACTCTGAGTCACCCAAGAGCCATGCAGGCTGCTGGCTGGCGCTGGGCATCCCTGCCCAGAAGTGCCCGTCCACCCACCTCTTTCGTCTCTTCTGTCCTCCCATCGGCCTTGTAATGCCACGCCAAGGACGGGGAGAGGCCCAACCACAACTTTACTACAAACGCTTCTATTTACACAAGGGGGGGGGTGGAGTTCCAGCAGAGCTGGGGGGCGGGGGGGCTGTCCTTCTCCCTCGCCAGCCGCCCGCCCGGCTTTATTTGCGCTTCCTCAGGACGAGGTACATGAGGCCACTGAGCAGGGTGAAGGCGAAGGCGACCCAGGCCAGCACGTAGGAGTAGCCGAACCGGCCGCTCTCCACCCCAGCCGGGCCGTAGCTGGAGCCCCGGTGCAGCTCCGCCTGCCGGTCGGTGTAGACGGAGGCCCCGATCATCACGCACAGGCCTGCGGGCGAGAGGCAGAGATGGCCCCACTTAACGTCAAGCCACAAACTGGGGGCCTACAGTGGCAGTAGTCCTCGGCTTATGACCAGAATGTCTGTTGCTGAGCAAGGCAGGGTTAGGAAGCCCCCACCCTGCGATTTCTGGATCGGGCGAGGCTTTGGAAAAATTGCCTTTCTTATCTCCTGTCTCCCCAGCAAAAGGGATCCTTGGGGGGGGGAGCGTCCCTTTCCTCTTCCCCCCCCCCACAAATCTGGTTTAGCAATCCCATTAAAAATGTCGGTCCAGTTCCAGGAAAGTGGATTTTAAAGCAGGGCTACTCACAGGACAAGAGCTGGAGGATGGAGGTCAACACAAACCGCTCGCCTTGCTTCAGGCGGAAGAGCTGAAGGAGGAAGACGAAAAAGGCCACGCAGCAAAGAATCGTGGACAAGATCATCGTGGCTTGGACAGTCTGGATAGACGGGTATTCTGGAGGGTGGTGGTGGGGTGAATAAAAAGGTCACTTCTCGGACAAACTGCCCACTGAACGTCCAGCAGGGCACAAAGCTGGTTCCCCACATGGCTCCACTTTAAGTCCTGTGGACTTCAATTCCCAGAATTCCCCAACCAGCATGAAAGCCTAGAGCAGGGGCATCCAACCTTCGCAACTTTTAAGATCTGGGGAAATCTGGGAGTCGAAGTCCACAGGGGTCACGGTCGGACATCCCTGCCATATTGTGTAGCCCAACGTGCCATGGCTTGTAAGCCAAGATTGATGGCTTAAGGCCGAGTGCTGGAGAAGCTTCAAAGGCAAGCTTCAGCCAAAGCAAGCCCCCTCCTCGTTCCGGACAACAGCAGCACCTGGGGGCCTCCCCTGCCCAAGCTCATTTTCCAGCCGCTTTTCCGCCCCCAGATCCGCCCGCATCCTGCCCGAGACGTCCCCGTGCCAATTCCATGCCGAAGGACAATAAAAAAAGCTCAGCCTCTCCTGCCAACTCTCCATCCTCAGTTTCCTCCGCAGGAAAATCAGGCTGCTTCCACTGCAAGGCGCTTTTTGAATCGGGCAGCTGCGGCCCCTCCCTTCCTCCTCCTCCCTCCCCAAGGGCCTTGGCAAAGCGCCCCTGCCTCCCTGGAGGTGGCCCCCACTCCTCAAACGGGGGGAAATCCCAGAGGAAGGGGCTTGGGGTTGGGGCCGGTGGTCCCGGGGGGAGCAGACAGGGCTACAGCCTGGACCTCCCACCCCCAAAAAATGTTACTTCTCAGAGACAGCATCCAAAATGCAAGCACGGTAACACAACATAAAGGTAAAGGCTTCCCTGTCCGGTCCGGTCTGACTCCGGAGCGCAGGGTCATCCCCACTTTTTGGGCGAGGGAGCCGGCATCGTCCAAAGACACTTTTCATGGGGCCAGCATGGCGATATGCCAAAGGCGCACAAAACGCTGCTAGCTTCCCACCAACGCGGCATCTATCTTTCTACTTGCACTTGCATGCCTTCGAGCTGCTCAGTGGGCAGTTGCTGCTGGGGCAAGTAGCTGGAGCCCTCCCTGTTAGCAGCAGCTGACAAGCTCAGCATCTTTAACCACTGAGCCATCTTGCCCCAGTAACGCATCATACTCCTGTGCAGCTGGGAAAATGTGGAATGCCAGGATATCCTGGCATTTTGCAACCATGACGTCTAGTTAGAAGACTTGGGGACTGGGGAGGGAGGCAGAGCAGATCCCCCCCATGGGTGCCATTGGAGCGCCTGTCTCTTCCCACCCCCAGCAAGGAGAGAAGCCCCCCCTGGAGACTCACCTGGAAGGGTATGGTCCAGGGCTGTACAGTTGCTCTCATTGAAGCAATGGTGCCAGATGTCTGTGAAGAAGCCATCGCCAACCCACCAGGCCTAGAGAAGAAGACAAAAGGGACCTCTGCTCAGGAGAGCTTTTTTTAAATAATAAATAAAAAATAACCAAACCAATGCACAGGTGATGAACTTTCATCAAGCATTTGTGGCTGGCAGTTATTGCTTACGGACGTCGTCTACGGATAGGCAGAGGGAGAACTTTGTAAATATGTCTAACAAAAGAGTCAGGAAGTAGCTCCATGTGTGGGTGTGCGTGGGTGTGTGTGTGCATGCACGCATGCAAGCCAAGGTGGTGTTTTGTTTCAGCTGATGAGGTCAGTATTTGGGTTCTATTCAGCCTGAATTCAGCTCAGGCCTGAGTAAATCCATCATGTTTTGTTTACGGGCAATTCATGACCAGTGAAAACTCAGCCATAACTGATCTGCAGCCCCCGTGGATTGGCAGGTCAGACAGAGAGACGTGACTTCAAAGAAAAGAATTGGTTCCCCTTTCCCCCCCCCCCCGGTTTGATTCGACCTGCAAACTGGTATAAAGTGGCACCAGTTACCTGTTTGCAGTATGTGTGAAGCAAGACTTCCGACAGCTTTGTTCATTTGAATAGGCATTATCCCAAAGTGGGAATCTTAGTTCATAGGGTGTGTGTGTGTGTGTGTTTCCTTTTTAAGCTGGGCACCGAAACAATGGAGACCTTCTCAGCAGCACCTCCTAGACCAATGTTTCTCAACCTTGGCTGCTTAAAGATGTGTGGCCTTCAATTCCCAGAATTCCCCAGGCAGCTTTGGGGGAATTCTGGGAGTTGAAGCCCACACCTTTTCAAGGGGCCAAGGTTAAGCAACACTGCCTTAGACTAAGGGCATCGTCCGTGTATTTCCAGATTAGAAGAGACTCAGATCTGTAAAATTTAATTTCCTTGTTCAGAGGACATCCCTTTAATCTTGGAATCAAATCCCAAACTGAAAGCTACCCTGGCAACTCACGTTATCAATTGTAGAGATGAACAAAAGGGCAGCTGAAGTGATGTGGAAGAGGATGATAAATGCCAGGAGAATCAGCATCTTGGCGTGGGGGGAGCGGTTCTTTCAATGAGAAGAAAGCGATGCTGTTTAGACACAAAGGGAAAACAGAGCAGAATTATGCCACGCAATACATTAATACGTCCTCTGGAAAATTTCTGCTACTCTAGTCAAGCCAATTTTGTCACTTCTTTTACTTTGACATAATTATTCGACAATTTTCATGAATCAAAGCTGCCTTCTCAAAAGACACGTCTGAAAGTTGCCAAGCTTGAAAAACGCAGATTTAGAAGAACTCTGGAGAGGAGGTTAGGCCTGATCTTCTCCTTTTAAAAACAAAAGGCCTTGCCTAAGAGTGGAAGATCTTGATCTGCCAGTTAAAAAAGCTAAATCTGAACCTGGAAGGGTGGCGGCTGCGATGAAGATTTTTCCTTACCGTCTCCTCAACCCAGGATACCATGAAAGCATTCTGTGGTGACAAGGGGACAACTCTAAATTTATGGAAGCTGGATATTTGCCTCATAGATGCAGTAAGACCACTGGATCTTCACTGGATCTATTGCACCTTCACTGCTGCAATTCCAGAATCACAAGAAGACCAGGCTTTCCGTTTTTCCCATTTATTTCACAGGGTGGCTCCTCTGATCCTAATCACTCTGCTCTCCTTTCTTTCCCTCTCTAAACAACCAAGCATTTGCAAGTACTTCCCTCTGCAAATAGCCACAGCACTTAGGACTTATATACCGCTTCACGGTGCTTCACAGCCCTCTCTAAGCGGTTTACAGAATCACCATATTGCCCCCCAACCATCTGGGCCCTCATTTTATCCACCTCGGAAAGAGGGAAGGCTGAGTCAACCTTAAGCAGGTCAGCATCGAACTCCTGGCAGTGTGCAGAATCAGCCTGCAATCCTGCATTCTAACCACTGGGCCACCGGGTCTCTTTTTATAAATACCCACTCAACCACAGTGGGATGGCAACAAGGGAGCCGATACCTTGAGGTTTGGGGGCCGGGGATCTACTGGGTTCAGGGTACCTGAATCTATAGAACCGATGGGCCTCTCAGAGAGGCGGTTCTACCTGTACCTTCCTCAACCAAAGGAAGGGCTGGATGCAACCGGAGGGCCTCCGAAGGGTCTTCCTTGACCAGACACGGAGGGGGCAGTTAACAGACAAAGATTGGGGGGTGGGGGGCTTCTCTTGGGTGGCCCCAGTAAACTCCTCTCTGTTGGCCCTAAGGGAGATTTTAAAGATTTGCCTCTGCCAGTCGGTATCTGGAGGCTCCGTGCTCTGCTCCTTTATTTGCTCATCTTGTTTAATCTTGAAACCTTGGATCTGTCGAACGTTGTTCCAGGATTAAGTCTGCGCTTTTCTCTGGCCCTGAAACGCCATCTCCGCCTCTGTTTTGGCTTAACGGCCCAGCCTTCATTTAGCACAGGGACCACCACTGTTTTCAAGCCGGCCTTTCGACCGCTCCGCTTCGTTTCCGAAAGGAGAACCCAGGCAGGATAAACAAGCAGAATCTGCTTTGACTGACATGAAGATTCCTTAGGTACATTGAGTGGAATTACTCACCCTGCTCCTGTCACATTAAAAGATCTACAACTTGGTGGAGCAGCTCTGGGGCCACACCTGAGGATTTGGGAGGGGCTGCTTTAAAAGGAGCCGGTGCTCAGAAGGTCAGCTCCCCTTCATGCGGGTCCCGGGTTGGGCCCGCTGGTCTCCAAGGAAGAGATTGTTTGCTTTTTGTATATTGTGCAGTTTGGAGCTTTGATTGTAAACCATTCTCGTTATTAGCTGTTGGGTCACTGGCGGTGGTGCCACTGAACCACGCAGAGAAGGCGGATTTGATGCCCCCTCTGAAAAAGGGCAAGCGCTACTGTTGGCTAAGAAGAGGAAGACTTGAGACTCGGAAGATCCAGCCTCAAGGATGCAATTTGCTCTCCTTGACCTAATGCCACTTCGGGGAAGGGGGGGGAGTACAGCATCTACACCTGGGAGGTTCCAGAGCAGAGGGAAGGAAATGGCAATGGGGAGAGGGATTGGGGAGAGAGAGAGGGAGGGAGAGGGCCAAAATTCTCCTTCTCACAATGCCCAGTTTGTGTGGCCACACCTAAAGGGCATCTTGTGAAAGGAGGACCTTCCTATCAAAGCCTTCCAGAACAGCACTGGTGGGCGGGCTGCCTGGAGAGCAATGCAGCCGACGGCCAGTCCCAGAATGCCTTTTTCCTCAGTCGGGAGCCCTGCCTGAGAAAGGTCTGTTTGCCCAACCAGGGAGTGGCCGGAGGAGAACTTTAAGCCAGGATCCTGGCTCCCTGAAATCACAAGAAGGCCCGCCAGCACCGAGTGCAGCAAGCTGCCTTGTGATAAAACAGGGTTGTCTGGTTCTGCTTACGTTTTCTTGCTGGCCACCTGCTTCCTCTTCCGTTTACCTGCTGCTCGTTGTTTTGTCTGTGCTGGGCCATGGAAAGATGGATGATACTCGGTGTAATAAAATCTTACAACGCCGTTTTAAACACACCTAAAGGTGTAGGAGGCACCCTGCATCTCCCTAAGCCACCGTTGACAGACGACAAGGCTGGTTTGCCCAACATGCCAAGCCCACATCCAGGCCAGCTTAGTTCAGTCTGATCAGATTGATCAGTCGACTGATTAATGCCCTGGCCTGATCCACTCAATCTGGGCAGTTTTATTTAAAGAAGTAAAATTGTTCTAAAGAAAAAGAAGCTGCTTCCAAGAGCAGCCAGCCAGATGCTCTTGGAAAGCTTACAAGCTATGATCTACCAATCAAAGCAATGCACGGAAAACAGGCAGGAATGCAAACTGAAGAAAAAATATTGCAAAACAGTCTTGAGATGTCTCTTGTAAAACTACTCAAACAGCAGTGACTCCAACTGCATCCACTTTGAATGAAGGAAGGCAGACAAAATCTGGACACAGCATTTGTGGAAGCAGAGTGGAGGCCCCCTGGCTTACAGCCAAGGGCTCTGGCCAGGCGACCCTTAACTGTGATTCTGGGTTCATCTTAGGTAATCCAGAGCAGGAGCCATCTTCTTGAGCGCCCTAAATGTCCAGCTTCCCAACAGTGTACCTGGCTGGCCACTGGGGAAGAAGGGTCCAAGAGACCAGCAAGGTTCGGGAGAAGCAATGATTGGGCCAAGAGACCCCCTGGCGTCTTCCTTCCTTCCCTCCCCCTCAAGAATATAGAAGGAGACCCCGGATGCAAATGGTTACATCAGAGGTTGGACAAGGCTGGATCCCTGGGCCTCTTCTGATAACAGAGCCCTGCTCCAGAAGAGATGAAACGGGAGAGACGTCCCAGCCTCCTAACCGGAGGGCATGCAATGGACGGTGGATTCACCATTCACACATACGCATATGTACATGCATGAATATATATACACATATGGAAATCCTCGCTACTCGTCTTATTGTTCTGATTAACACTTTTCCTTCTCCAATAATCCTAATTCACATGTCACATTATGCACACTTTGCATAATTAAGTTTGCTGAATAGGTTACAACTAGCAGGGTTCGCAAAACACGCTAAATTGTTCATCACGGTTTGAAAGCAATAAGAACGGATTCAGCTGCTAAGACAAACCACCACCCGCCTGGAAAGGGTCCCCCAAACCGATTCTGTGTGACGGAGACCTTTCTCTGAATCTGGAACCACAGACTGATGCCAAAAAAGTTGCTATGGTGAGAAGGGAAAAAGTGAAACGCAGCTCTGTGGCTCTCCCTTACCTGGGCACCTGTTACAGGTACCCCAGGTAGGGAACTCCCTTTGTCGGGATGGGAACGCAGGACGGCCTCTTCAGCCAAACCCTTCAGCCAACAGCCCTTCCTTGCCCCACGACCATTAAAATGTCTGCGGTCCAAGCAGGGTCCTCCTGGCCGTAATCCAGGGGCTCTTCCAGGGACCCTAGCTCCACACTTTACAGGGGGCCCATCTGAAGCCCTCGGCGGGCTCCTCAGTGCCGGGCACGATCTGGCTGGAGGGTCTTCACCGACGACCCTCCCCGCCGCCAATGAGCTTCGGCAGCCACTCCCTGCCCCACATTACTTCCAGCCGGGGACGAGCCCCGGGGCCAGGCTTGGGACGCCTGGGAGGTGCGCAGAGAGCCCCGGACGAGGCTTCGTGGGCGGCTGGAACTGAGTCTCCTCCCGGGAGGCCAAAGAGCCGCAGGAGGGACCGTCCCGCTCCGGCTGCGCAACGCAAAGCGGACGCACAACGAGGCGGCTCCGGTGTCCTCGGCCGGGAGACCCGCGGCCGTCCGTCCCAGCCCGGCGCCCCGGCCATTTCCCCAGCGCGGACGGGGCTCCCTCGCGGCCGCCGATGCAGGGCGGGCCATCCGGGAGCGCCCCCCGCCCCGTCTCCCCTCCGTCCCGCCTGGCGCTGCCGGGCTCCAGCCGCGCTCCGGCGCCAGAATCGCCGCGACTCAGCCCGGCCGCCCGGCGCGAGCATCCCGCCCCTCCCGGCCAGGCTGCGGCGAGCGAGCGAGCGAGGCTCCCCTCCCTCCCTCCCTCCCTCGCCGAGAGAAGCGCGGCGGGCGAGCCCGGCTCCCTCGGGGGGGCTCTGTCCCTCCCGCCCCCGCCCCGCCGGGGACCCTCCCGCGCCCCACTCCCGCCCTCCCTCCCTCACTCACGGGCGGCGGCGGCGGCGGGGCTGCTGCGCGCGAGCGAGGAGTCGCTGCTCCGTCTGCCGCCTCCTGGGCCGGCCGTGCCAGGAGCCCGGCTGGGTGGGGAGGGAAGGGGGAGGGGAAAAGGCGGCGGGCCGGGGGAGCCGCCAGAAGGCCGGGCCGGCCCGCAGGGGCGGCGGAGGAAGCGGCGCGCTTCCCGAGAGGGGGGGCTCTCTCGCCGCCGGCCGGAAGGGCAGCCGTTGCTTTGGGGGCGCCGCCCCCCCACCGCCCCCCTCCCGGGAAGGGCCCGGCGGGTCGCGCCCCGAAGGAAGGCCTTGCCGTGGCGGGTCGGACAGTCAGCCAGAGGTTCCGGCTGCACCGAGCAGTTCTGGCCCCCGACCCGGGCCTCGTTGTGGGCAAGATCGCGACTTAAAGGGAGGGA